AGACCAGTCTGACAGGTTTGCCGGTTCATGTGAATGGCTTTTTCGCCCTGACTCAGAATAGAGGTCATATCAAGTTTCCAACCGCAGAACAGGAAGGTCACCCTTTAACTGATAAATCCTTAAAATGGAATTAGTGTCTTTTAGAGGAGGCCATACCCCAAGCCTATGCCACGATGATTTTAGAAGCCATCAACGACAAGAGCTTCAAAGTGCAAGCAGCGACCGTTTACCAGTAAGTAACAACTGTAAAAACCTACAAAGCCGCGAACATAATTCTGCGTGATTGCTTTCCTTTTGCGGACCAAGTAACCTCTTCTGTTTGTAACATTCGTAACATATAAATGGAAACACCCTTTTTAAAAGGCAAACATGATGAAACGTTAGCTCATCATCCATGAAACTGTATTCTTACATAAGTTGGAAAAGCAATTGCTCCCCAACCTCTAAGGAGTACTAAGCTGATGTTTTAATATTATCACTACAATTGTTAAAAACGTCAAGATATCTTGAACAATTATCGAAGAGCTTTGGCCATATATTTCCCTGCGATCCTATTGATCATATGGACACTAGCCTTAAGGAGAGCAATTGAAGCGACATTCATTATGCTGCCTCCAAAGAAATGGAATTGGCCTTTGTCATTATCAACAACAACACCAAATGCTTTATTTGCATGACCATAAAGGAATTACAGTACTACAAAAGCTATTAGTCTAAATTTAAGTACTAATTCAAGTAATTAGTACGTGCAAAACATTACAAAACGTTACAGTTCTCATTCATTAATTAATTCATTCATTGATATTAATTTGGTTCTTAATTCAAAGCATTGCGAGATAAATGAAACTAATTGACAGTTAAATAATCAGAAGAATTTATAAGAAGAGATATTAAAGTATCGTGTGAAAGTGATTTGAAGTCAGGTATTTTAGTTTCTAGTTTGGAGAAAAACATGTCTCTGATCTGAGAATACGCCTTACAATCTATCATTCATTTGAACTATGATGACTCATTTGCTTTGTTACAGAGCTTGGCCAGAGATCACACGAGTCAACCAGAAATGGGAGAGCGTTGTTAAATCATTGTTTGATATTCTGTCAGACGAGGAAATTATCTACAGCAAAGTCAATCGGGGGCAATGGCTTTTTGTTGAAGATGCAATTTTTAACCAGGTACCTGAAAGACATCTTAAAGAGCTTCTTGAAAGTGTCTTGATTGGAGCAAATGTCCCAGTTGTCTCTGTACCCAGTCACGTGATGGATGCCATTAGGTCTTTTACTGATGCTAAGAATATCACCGCTAGTGTCACGAGAAAAGAATTGAAGAAATCTGCAGCTTGTTATAAAAACCTTATGAGGCATGAAAAGCTGCAGCTTCTTCAGTTCTGTTTACAAGATCACCAATATGAAGACCTTTGCGGCCTGGAGCTTTTACCTCTCTCCAATGGCACATTTACCACCTTTTCAGCCGTTGCCCACGAAATCTACATCAGCTCTCTTGAGCATTCTCAAGATCTTCTACCTGGCCTAGAGCACCGCTTCTTGGATCAGAAGTTGGATTCGGACATCCTTCAAAAGCTGAATTACGCAGCCAGACAAGGTAACACTGCTTGGAGACTCCTTTTTGTTGGCGACACCTAAGTATAACCTTTCCCTTTAATGAGGGAAAATTTTTCACGATTTATCATTAGTGCAAAATTTCATGCCCTCGTCATCAGTCCCGCCTGACGAAATTCTTGGCACTAATTTTCTGGTTGCGAATAGGATTTAAGAATACTTAGGCCCGTTTCAAACGTCATGCTACTGCCGTGCCGAACTCAATTGATCGAATTAAATTCGACTTTAGCACGGCAATAGCGCGACGTTTGAAACCAAGTCGTGCTACCGCTGTGCCGAACTCAGTTGATAAATTATAAATACATTAGAATACATTAAAAAGTTTGTCAAACCGTTTCTTTATTTTTGTGTTTTGTTTTCGGCAACAGCCGTTCTATTCGACTGTATTAAATTCGACGGCTGAAACCAAGTCGTGCTAGTGTCGTGCTGCAGTCGAGCTACAGTCGAGCCAGCTTAGCACGGCAGCAGCACGACGTTTGAAACAGGCCTTAGTTATCCCTTTGTGGCTCCTTTTCATCCCGTTAAGCAATGTAGATATTTGACAATTTACGTTTGGAACTGATTAGTCTCCTTGATAACCGTANAACGTCATGCTACTGCCGTGCCGAACTCAATTGATCGAATTAAATTCGACTTTAGCACGGCAATAGCGCGACGTTTGAAACCAAGTCGTGCTACCGCTGTGCCGAACTCAGTTGATAAATTATAAATACATTAGAATACATTAAAAAGTTTGTCAAACCGTTTCTTTATTTTTGTGTTTTGTTTTCGGCAACAGCCGTTCTATTCGACTGTATTAAATTCGACGGCTGAAACCAAGTCGTGCTAGTGTCGTGCTGCAGTCGAGCTACAGTCGAGCCAGCTTAGCACGGCAGCAGCACGACGTTTGAAACAGGCCTTAGTTATCCCTTTGCGGCTCCTTTTCATCCCGTTAAGCAATGTAGATATTTGACAATTTACGTTTGGAACTGATTAGTCTCCTTGATAACCGTACTAGGTTTTAGTCCAGATGATTGATCCAATGTGTATCCAGCTATCAGTACCAATGTGGTTGTTAACGACGCCATGATATTATCTTTTAGTTGGGTATTTTTTGGTTTTTTTGTTAATATCCTTCCTTCAAATAATTCAGAATCTATATTTTGTTAATAACCATCTTACTTCAGAAGGAGTACCTGAAAACAGTAGACAATTTTAACAGCGACAGGAGCCCCCTCTTTACGCTAATGATTTACTTTCATAGAAAGCACCCAGGTACGACTTCTATCTGAGAACGAAGTGGTGGTTCTTCTTAAAGAATCCCTCCCTTCCGACTGGAGTCAAGGAAAAACTGTTTTGTGGTACCCTGAAGACAAAAAGCACAACCATCCCCCAAGAGAGTGGATCGAGCTCATTTGGAGATACGTTCTTGACCATTTCCCTACTAGAGAGAGGCTGCACCGACTTCAGAACTTTTCCTTAATTCCAGTCAGCATTGAACAGACAGTTGTTACTTTGAAGCCACTTACTCAGCCTTCCACAGTCGTGATTAAAAGCCTGGGTGGGGATATCATTGATGATGCTCTGATACATGTCTTGACAAAGATGGGCGGGGTTGTCTTGACTGATTGTCCGGACTTTATACTTGATCACCCCTCTGTCGTGGATACCTTTGTGCATCGTCCTAATGTCCAAGGCATTTTCAAGACGATAGTGAAGTTAGCGTCCATGTTCACCATTAAAAAGTTGTCCGAAGTCGTGAGAGGGCTTTCTCCCGGAGAGAAGCGAAGTTTGAGATCATTCCTTGCTAATCTCAAACCAGTGCAACTTGGAAAAAAAGAAAGCAATCTCGTGTGCTCTCTTCCGATTTTTGAGACGTTCTCCAAAACGTTTGTGTCCAAAAATGAAGGTCTGTCAGCAGCGCTTATCGAATCTCTCCCCATTCAACCACGACGAGAACTCATTGACATTTCTGAAGAAGAATCTAGGAGTTTAGCTCTTCTTCTTAAAGTCCGGATTCTTAAACCCACAGAAGTGCTTTGCGAAATAGTATTTCCTGACATCCAAAGCGGCAAGTATGATGGAGAGCAGATTGATAAGTTAATGCCCTATGTGCTCACGAATTTTGCACACGTCATTCGTTCTGATGCTCAGTTCAAGCAAAATATACAAGCGCTGCCATTTTTGCCAAAGGCAAAGCAGAGCAAGCGAGTGAAGGGGTCGGATGTCTTTGATCCCAGAAATGAGAACCTTAGGAAATTATTTGCCAGCGAAAATGTTTTTCCCGTCGACCGGTTGTACAACGACTCCATCGTCCTAAATGTTTTGGAAGAAGTTGGAATGAAAAGCGAATCCGACGTCACTGCGAAAGATCTTCTGCGAAGCGCTAAAAAAGTTAGCGTGCTTTCAGACCCTTCGAAAGCAAGAGAGAAGTCTCATGCAATTTTGCAACATCTTGAACGTCATCCGCAAAAACTTAAGAGCAAAATTGATGGGCAAGAGCTGGGATCGCGACTGATGAAAATCCAATGGGTGCCAAACTTGCGCCAGAAAACATCAAACTTTCCACCTTCACTCCAATGGTTTGAAACAGGCGAAGAAGGAGGGAGACACTTTTTCAAGCCGCCCGAACTGAAGAGCCAGCAGGTTATCAATATCATCGGATCTGTAAAACCTGTCGTCGCCTTTGAGCCGTCGAGTGAAATTGCTGGTCATTTTGGCTGGCTTAAGAAACCAGAAGTCTTGGACGTTGCTAAGCATTTGCAGAATGTAGTTAGGCGTTACACGGGTGATGAGAAGGCATACTATATGGTTTTGGTAAATGACATCTATGAGTTTTTGAGCTGTGCAGACGATGCTGAGGTCACAGAGGTGCTAAGTAACTCGCATTTCGGCTGGGTATGGAATGGAGATGGCTTTTCCTCGCCAAGCCACGTGCTTTTCAGTAAGCCAGCAATTGACTTAACACCCTTCATTCGCCTTCTCCCTTCGGAGATGATGAAACACTCCCAGTTGTTCGACCTTTTTGGCATGAGGACAAACAGTGATCCATCTCTTTTAGTACTAGTACTTGGCTTGATTAAAGAAAAGTATGACGGTCAAAATTCTCCTGTTATCAACGCCTCGGAAGTACGACACGATCTCCAGTTATCAGTTGATATTTTGAACGAACTGGCAAGTGATGAACTATCGCCAGAGCTCCAAAGAGAGATCCTTCTACCTGTCCGTGTCGATGGCAACTTGTACGTCCGGCTTGAACCAGTCGAGCACTGCATGTACACTGAACAAAAGGAATGGATGCAGAGTGAAAGCGAAGATGGAGAGCAAAAATACTATTACGTGCATCATAATGTACCTAACAACACTGCTGTACGTCTGGGTGTTAAATCGTTAACACATCGAATGTTAGATCCAGATGAGCTTTCCATTGGAGAAGAGTTTGGACAGGAGGAGAAGCTTACCACTCGATTAAACCGACTTTTAGAAGACTACAAAGATGGCCTTGCAGTGCTAAAAGTAGCAGCACGACGTTTGAAACAGGCCTTAGTTATCCCTTTGCGGCTCCTTTTCATCCCGTTAAGCAATGTAGATATTTGACAATTTACGTTTGGAACTGATTAGTCTCCTTGATAACCGTACTAGGTTTTAGTCCAGATGATTGATCCAATGTGTATCCAGCTATCAGTACCAATGTGGTTGTTAACGACGCCATGATATTATCTTTTAGTTGGGTATTTTTTGGTTTTTTTGTTAATATCCTTCCTTCAAATAATTCAGAATCTATATTTTGTTAATAACCATCTTACTTCAGAAGGAGTACCTGAAAACAGTAGACAATTTTAACAGCGACAGGAGCCCCCTCTTTACGCTAATGATTTACTTTCATAGAAAGCACCCAGGTACGACTTCTATCTGAGAACGAAGTGGTGGTTCTTCTTAAAGAATCCCTCCCTTCCGACTGGAGTCAAGGAAAAACTGTTTTGTGGTACCCTGAAGACAAAAAGCACAACCATCCCCCAAGAGAGTGGATCGAGCTCATTTGGAGATACGTTCTTGACCATTTCCCTACTAGAGAGAGGCTGCACCGACTTCAGAACTTTTCCTTAATTCCAGTCAGCATTGAACAGACAGTTGTTACTTTGAAGCCACTTACTCAGCCTTCCACAGTCGTGATTAAAAGCCTGGGTGGGGATATCATTGATGATGCTCTGATACATGTCTTGACAAAGATGGGCGGGGTTGTCTTGACTGATTGTCCGGACTTTATACTTGATCACCCCTCTGTCGTGGATACCTTTGTGCATCGTCCTAATGTCCAAGGCATTTTCAAGACGATAGTGAAGTTAGCGTCCATGTTCACCATTAAAAAGTTGTCCGAAGTCGTGAGAGGGCTTTCTCCCGGAGAGAAGCGAAGTTTGAGATCATTCCTTGCTAATCTCAAACCAGTGCAACTTGGAAAAAAAGAAAGCAATCTCGTGTGCTCTCTTCCGATTTTTGAGACGTTCTCCAAAACGTTTGTGTCCAAAAATGAAGGTCTGTCAGCAGCGCTTATCGAATCTCTCCCCATTCAACCACGACGAGAACTCATTGACATTTCTGAAGAAGAATCTAGGAGTTTAGCTCTTCTTCTTAAAGTCCGGATTCTTAAACCCACAGAAGTGCTTTGCGAAATAGTATTTCCTGACATCCAAAGCGGCAAGTATGATGGAGAGCAGATTGATAAGTTAATGCCCTATGTGCTCACGAATTTTGCACACGTCATTCGTTCTGATGCTCAGTTCAAGCAAAATATACAAGCGCTGCCATTTTTGCCAAAGGCAAAGCAGAGCAAGCGAGTGAAGGGGTCGGATGTCTTTGATCCCAGAAATGAGAACCTTAGGAAATTATTTGCCAGCGAAAATGTTTTTCCCGTCGACCGGTTGTACAACGACTCCATCGTCCTAAATGTTTTGGAAGAAGTTGGAATGAAAAGCGAATCCGACGTCACTGCGAAAGATCTTCTGCGAAGCGCTAAAAAAGTTAGCGTGCTTTCAGACCCTTCGAAAGCAAGAGAGAAGTCTCATGCAATTTTGCAACATCTTGAACGTCATCCGCAAAAACTTAAGAGCAAAATTGATGGGCAAGAGCTGGGATCGCGACTGATGAAAATCCAATGGGTGCCAAACTTGCGCCAGAAAACATCAAACTTTCCACCTTCACTCCAATGGTTTGAAACAGGCGAAGAAGGAGGGAGACACTTTTTCAAGCCGCCCGAACTGAAGAGCCAGCAGGTTATCAATATCATCGGATCTGTAAAACCTGTCGTCGCCTTTGAGCCGTCGAGTGAAATTGCTGGTCATTTTGGCTGGCTTAAGAAACCAGAAGTCTTGGACGTTGCTAAGCATTTGCAGAATGTAGTTAGGCGTTACACGGGTGATGAGAAGGCATACTATATGGTTTTGGTAAATGACATCTATGAGTTTTTGAGCTGTGCAGACGATGCTGAGGTCACAGAGGTGCTAAGTAACTCGCATTTCGGCTGGGTATGGAATGGAGATGGCTTTTCCTCGCCAAGCCACGTGCTTTTCAGTAAGCCAGCAATTGACTTAACACCCTTCATTCGCCTTCTCCCTTCGGAGATGATGAAACACTCCCAGTTGTTCGACCTTTTTGGCATGAGGACAAACAGTGATCCATCTCTTTTAGTACTAGTACTTGGCTTGATTAAAGAAAAGTATGACGGTCAAAATTCTCCTGTTATCAACGCCTCGGAAGTACGACACGATCTCCAGTTATCAGTTGATATTTTGAACGAACTGGCAAGTGATGAACTATCGCCAGAGCTCCAAAGAGAGATCCTTCTACCTGTCCGTGTCGATGGCAACTTGTACGTCCGGCTTGAACCAGTCGAGCACTGCATGTACACTGAACAAAAGGAATGGATGCAGAGTGAAAGCGAAGATGGAGAGCAAAAATACTATTACGTGCATCATAATGTACCTAACAACACTGCTGTACGTCTGGGTGTTAAATCGTTAACACATCGAATGTTAGATCCAGATGAGCTTTCCATTGGAGAAGAGTTTGGACAGGAGGAGAAGCTTACCACTCGATTAAACCGACTTTTAGAAGACTACAAAGATGGCCTTGCAGTGCTAAAAGAGCTGGTACAAAACGCAGATGATGCTGGAGCCACTGAGGTTAAATTCCTGTACGATGAAAGAACCAACGAGGATGCCATGACCTGTCTCATTGACGATGGAATGAAAAAATGTCAAGGTGCTGCCCTCTGGGTGTACAACGATGCAACGTTCAAAAGTGAGGACTTTGTTAACATCACAAAACTTAATGAAGCAACCAAAGTGCATGACACCGCGAAGATTGGTAGGTTCGGACTTGGCTTCAATGCAGTGTACAACCTCACAGATGTGCCGATGTTTGTAAGTAAGAACTATTTTGTCATACTTGATCCCAACACATCTCACCTGGGAACTGCGATCAATAACAGAAAGCCAGGTATGAAGATTGATCTCAACAAAGATGTCAGAAAATTGCAGACCTTTAGAAATCAGTTCAAACCATTCAATGGCGTATTTGGCTGTGATTTAAGTCTTGCCAAAGACGACTACTCGTACAATGGTACGCTGTTTAGATTTCCATTGAGGACAAGAGAACAAGCAGCAGTCAGTGAGATCAGAGACAAGTGTTACGACGACCACGAAATGAGGAAACTGTTAGAAATGTTTATCGAGAAAGCAAACACCGTTCTTCTTTTTACACAAAACGTATTCCGTGTTGGAATGTATTTTTTACCAAAATCTTCAGGGCAGAATCTACAACCGTTGCTAATGTTTCAGGTCAACAAATCACTCGCGCAAGGAGGAATACTGAGAGAATTGTCTTTCCCTATCGCACTACCAGACACTTCGCACAAACTGACTGCAGAACAGAAGAAGTTGATGGTACAGTCTAATTTCCTTCAAGCATCATCCAAGTTTAAAAGCCTTCCCGGGAGTAAAACAGCCAAACAAAGTGAATTCCCTGAATCATCAATTATCATTGATGTGGAATGCTTTTTAACCCAGTTTGGAGCTAGTTTTTTTCAAAAAGAGAAGCCCCCTGGAGGAAAACGTGAAAGCTGGTTGATCGTATCCTCAATGGGGTGTGGAGACTCTTTGGAGTTTTCTGAAAGCGATCCTAGCCTTCTTCCGTCCGGAGGCGTAGCTGCTCAGTTATTTAGTTTGGACTGCAAGACCTTTCTGCCCACACCAGCAAAGAGTGGAACGGTTTTTTGCTATCTTCCACTCCCGATTCACAGTGGCCTGCCAGTTTGCATAAATGGTGCATTTGCAGTAGATTCTAATAGGCGTCGTTTGCAGGGCAAACTTGAAGACGACAAAATATGCTATGGCGAGGAATGGAATAATGTTCTAATGACTGATTCCATATCTACTGCTTATCTGTGCCTCCTTGAAGACCTTAAGGAAATTGTCCCCAAAGACGGACGTTATGTTTTCCATTCACTGTGGCCAAGGGCTTTTGACGTAAGCGAACAGTGCTGGTCTATTACAGAGTCTTTCTACAAGCAAATTGCTAATGGAGCTCATGCTCTGTTTTCCAATGGAGAAAAATGGGTTGGCATTACTCAAGTGGTTTTTCTCCATCCGGACCTTCGCATGGATCCTAAAATTGGAGAAATTTCGTTTTCTGTGTTTTGTGACTTCCCTAAAGGAAATGATGTGGTGATTGATTTGCCAGCCGAAGTATTCCAGTCTTTTGAACGTTGTGATCTCCTAAATGTGCTCAGAAGTAAAACATACGACAAGTTTCGATTTTTCCGTGAAGTTTTCTTTCCAAACATTTCAAGTGTTACTTCAGAACAGCGGGATGTTCTTGTGCTATATGCACTAAATCAAAACAGCAAAACGTTGGACGACTTGATAATAAACAACGCTTGCGTTCCAGTGTCGCCTAATGGAAAGATGCTCAAGCGGCCGAGTCAGTTAGTGAATCCCAAAAAAGAAGCTTCCTCCTTGTTTTTCCCAGGCGATGGTAGGTTTCCCTTTGGCGACGAGAGTACATTTCGCAACCCACAAGTGCTTGCCAAACTGGAGGTACTTGGAATGAACTCACACGATCTTCCTTGGGAGGATATTGCAGAAAGAGCAGAGAGTGTACAACGAGTTAATTCAGTGGACAGTAAGGCGGCAGTGAAGCGTGCTAAGTTTTTGATAGAATTCGTACAAAAGAAGTTGAAGCTGAAAGATAAAGGCTCCTCGGAAGGCGTCATTTCTCGTATTGTGAAAGCTGAGTTTCTCCCAGTACTAGAGAGGCCGAAATCGTTTCCCCTTCGCTGGAAAAGCGAAGAATATCGAACATATCGAAGGCTTCTGGCAGCCCCAAGGGACGTTTTTCTTCCTTCCGACAAATACTTGGTGTGTTGTACGGAGTTAGTTGTCGATCTAGAAATCCCCAAGAAGGTAACAGAATTGCTAAGATTACATGAAAAAAGAGTTACTACAGAGCACGTGATGAGACAACTAACTGAAGCCATTTCCGCCAGCATTGGTAAAATGGATCGTAAGAGTTTAGACGAAGTGAGACGCGTTTGCACAGAGGCTTATTCTTTTCTACAAGATAATATGGCCAACTGTACGCCCTCCGTTAAGGAATTCCTGTCTACGAAACCGTTCATTTTAATTGAAAGGCGCTTTCTCGCCGCAGACGAGGTCGCCTTTGAGGTGAAGACCGACTGTTCCCCTTACCTTAATAAACTTCCAGAAACTTTATCCGATTCTTACGCCAAACTCCTGAGATTCAGTGGTGTTAGAAAGCAATTCGAAGCGAAGGACTACATTTCAGGTCTTCAAAAAATAAAGCAAAAGTTTGCAGAGACACAACTCGATGAGCAAACCTTGCAAGTGGCAGTCAATATGGCTATCGAACTTGGGGAGACTGTGAAACATTGTAATGAGAAATGGTATGCCGGGGAGGAAAGCTCGAATTATATTTATCTTCCTGATTCTGGAAGGAGAATGCTTGCAGTGGCTGACCTTTGCTACAAGGATTGTCCGTGGATGCCTGATGATCCAGAGGAACAGTTCATTCATGAAAAAATTCCCTGGTCGACCTGTAAACAACTGGGGGTTAAAACACGCCGAGAAGGGGCCTTGCAACAACACGATATTGGGTTTCCTTTTGGGCAAAAGGAAGAGCTCACAAATCGATTGAAACGGATTTTGACAGGCTACCCAGGCGAGAAAGAAATTTTAAAAGAGCTTCTTCAAAATGCAGATGATGCACAAGCAACCGAAATTTGCTTTATCAAAGATCCTAGACACCATCCTGATGAAAGAGTGTTCCAAGAGAGTTGGAAGCCTCTGCAAGGTCCTGCACTTTGTGTGTATAACAACAGACCGTTTACCAATGCGGATATTGAAGGAATTTGTAACCTCGGAAAGGGCAGCAAAGGAGAAGATCCCAACAAGACTGGTCAGTATGGAGTTGGGTTTAATGCTGTGTACCACTTGACTGATGTGCCGTCATTCAGGTCGAAGGGTGAAGAAATTGGAGATGTTTTCTGCGTGTTTGACCCCCACTGCAAGTATGTTCCGTGTGCGAGTGATGCAAAACCTGGAAGAATGTACAAAGACATCGATAAGTTAAAGAAAAAGTTTCCAGATGTTTTTCCCTGTTATCTTGAGGAATTGTTTCCCATGAAGAATGCAACCATGTTTCGATTTCCGCTTAAGTCTCGGGAAATGGCTGAAGAATCCAAAATATCAAAGAAACCTGTTTCCGTACATCAACTTGATGGAATGATGAAAGATCTGAAGATGGAGTTGTTTGAAGTTCTTCTGTTCGTTAACAATGTGAGGAAGATAAGCATTGCAGAGATAGACAGAAGTGCAAAATTGGCAGGTATCTACTCCGTAGAAGTTGTTATGACTCAAGAAGATGAGAGTAACAGGCAGCGTTTCGCTGATTACATGAAGCAAGTTGGAAAGCAAGCCAAACACAAAGATTTCCTCCCTACAAGTATACAGCCGAAAAAGTGCATTTATACCATGACAATTCGTGACAGCGTTGGTGAGGAGGAGACTTGGTTGATTGTTCAACAGGTCGGCTTTGATAAGCCTGTACAAAAGAGTATCGATGACGCCTTCAGAGACGAAAACCTTGGGATGCTACCTCGGGGTGGTGTGGCTTGCCTCTTAAACAGCAGTAGGTCAGCTGGGCAACGAAACGGTAAAGAAGGCAAAGCGTACTGCTTTCTTCCACTACCCTTTAAAACCAATTTGCCCGTTTATATCAATGGTCACTTTGCTTTGGACCATGAGGCCAGAAGAAATTTGTGGCGGGATGAAGCTGGTGGTTATCGGAGTGACTGGAATAACGCTTTGCTGCGTGATGTTATTACCTCCTGCTACCTCACTCTTCTGGACAAAGTACGCGGATACATTCAGCTGCCAGTTGGGCAGAATGCTGCAGATCAGTATTCCACCTTTGGCAAGAGTGACATCACGAAAAAGCTAACTTCCTATGAAGGGCTTTTCCCCAGGTACCCCTTTGAAGATTCACATTGGAGGACGTTAGCTGATTCCGTGTACCAAGAAATGAGCAAGAAGGAGTTGCGCCTAATTCCAGTAGTGAGATCTTTGAAGCATATTTCAGATGCTCGTGCTAAAAATTTGAAATCAGTAGTAAAATGGTTTCCACCGCAAGGCAAAGGCAAGAACCAAGTATTCTTCAACAATCTCGGAATCGAAGGCTGCTTTGCTGTACTTTCTCTGAAGCCAAATGTTGAAGAGGAGGAAAGAAGAAAGAAAGAGGAAGCCCAGATAAGGCGAAAACAGCAATTCGAAGAAACGATGCTACGAACTGGGTTTAATTTAGTCGCACTATCAATCACCGTGTTCCGTTCGTTCAAAGAGGCGGAAGTAGAGGTTTACTGTCTATGTCCTCTTGTTATTATGGACTTCTTTAAGTCGTTTAATGATGTTAACCCGCTTTGCAGTATTGGCGAGATTCCGTTTCCCATTGACAAGACTCCATTCAAAGACAAAGAGGCAGTAATTGGCATTCTAAAGTACTGCAAGGCTGATGAATGTTTTCTGGAGAATCTCCCGGGTCTTCCATTGCTACTCACACAAGATAACTACTTACGCGTATTTAGTGAGAAAGAACCTCGGTGTTTGAGTCATTATTACGATATTTTACCACAATCTCCGTCGTTGTTTGTGCACAACAGAGTCCACTGCGAAGTTTTCAACAATGTTGATCTTAAAAAGACCCCTGTATTCCGACCTCTGGATGTGCAAATACTCTCGTCAAATTTGCACCTTGCGCTTCCCGGATGTTTTTGTAGGGAGGATCACTATATGAGGTGGTCTCCTGAAGATCCAAAGTCTCCTTTGCCGAATCGTCGCTGGATTTACAGAGTCTGGACCTTTTTGGAGAGATTTACCAGCGAAACATTGAAAGAGTCAGATGTAGCAGACGAAAACAAAATTTCGTTCATTCGTGACCTGCTCAAGCCGTTGTCTAAGTGGAACATTCTTCCAGCGACAGAGAAAAGCCTGTCTGTAGATCATGTTTTAGTGCCTCTGAAAATGGCGGAGTCGGTTCTTGATTTTGGCGATTGTGGTCAGTCAAGCAAGAAGTTGGTCGAGGCTTTGAGATGTTTGACATTACCTGAGCTTAACTCGGTTGTGATGGCATCCAGTAGCGTTGATGCGTCATCCTACACTAATACGGATTCATACAAGTTCGCTCGTAATATTGTGGCGACATTGAAGACACCTCATTCGCTTTTAAAGGCACTGAATCAGAAACTGAAGACGAATCCTGCCTCCCTTAGTGGTAGACTAAAGAGCACTGAAGCTGAAAGCATTCTTGGTTATTTTAGCCGTAGTGTCAAGGATTTAGTAGACGACGACAAAGAAACACTAAGGAAGCTTCCTTTCTTTCCAGTGGCGGGCGGAAGGCTTGGAGAAGTACAGGATAGAGACGTCTTTGTCCTACCTGGTGAGATCCCTAAGGACGAAATGGATGCTGTAGAATCCAGAGTTGGCTGTTTGTTTCTAGAACCTCGTCAAAGTCTGTCAGACTTGTATGAATTCCTCGGATTTCACAAGTTATCGCCTGCGAATGCATATCTAAAATTCATCTTGAAATGTTTTCAGCATCTTAGTTTAGGAGGAAAATTGGCCCATCTTCGATATCTTCGGGGTTTGGTTTTCTCGGCAAGTGTGCTGGGGAAAGAAAACGAAGAAATTGAAAAGCAGCAACTGCTAGACTATCTGAAAGTAGTTCCATTCATCCCAGCCGTGGATGGATCCTCGAAGACAGCGTCCAGTTTCTACGATCCCCGGAATGAAGTTTTCCGTACTATGTTATCGGCAGAAAGTTTTCCACCGAAAATTTTCAACACTCACGAATGGCTGCTCTTTTTGGAAAAGATAGGCCTAATTACAGATGTTTCACAAGAGGATTTTGTGAGGTTCGCTCTCCAAGTCGCAAATGAAGCTGAATCAGCTCGCACTGAAGAGACCTACAAGAAGTCCGAAGTTCTAGTGCATAATCTTATCTCCTGGCCTAATGTTGTAGAAAAAGGGCTCCTAACTCGTGTTCGTAGCATTCCTTTTGTGGCGTCAGAGCCAGTAAAACAGTCCCTAGAAGCACTATGTCCAGCATTTGGGGAAATGAGGAATGGCAAAATTCCATTTATTTCATTTAGTGGTGCAGTACCAATCGATTATCAAGAAATTGTTTGGACCAAAGCGCATTTGCTTCCAACTTGGGCGGATCCAGGGTTTAATTATGGAGCCATTGCGAGTGGGTGTCCTCATCGAAAGACAGATAAGTATATCAAAAGTTTCCTGGCCCAGCTCAACGTTATGAAGGAGCCAACAATTCGTCTTGTCATCAGCCACTGTCAGACGGTAAGTGGCATAAGAGATCTCAGAGATAAGAGCGCTTCAACAGTCACAAGGGTCATGGAACGCATTTACACATTCCTGCAGCAAAAGGCAGCCAATGAGCCTAATATGAACATCCTGCTCCAGAGCACACGTTGTATCTTGGTGGAGCAAGGGAAACGGTTCATCCTTCCTAAACAAGCCGTCCTCGAGCTCTACGAGCATCTCGAGATAAAGCCATTCTTGTACAGAGTGCCTCTTGAATTTGGCAAGTTTCAGTCTCTTTTTAAGCTGCTGGGCTGCTCCAAAACTGTAAACTCTGGACACTACGCTATGGTGTTAGAGCTTTTGCAGAAAAAGTGCCAAGAAGCAAAGTTACACCCAAACGAAGTCCAGAAGTGTTCAAAGGCGGTAAGAGGACTATTTAACAGTTTGCAAGACGATGATGAAAGTGTGAAAACTCTCTCTAAATTGTACCTACCAGCAGTGTCTCCAGAATGCGGCTCTCCGAAAAAACCACTGGAAGCTACCGCTGTTACTTTGCGACAATCAGAAGAGCTTATTTTTGATGACGCTCCCACCTATGCCAGTCGGATTCACGGTATTGACCAGCTGTTCGTGCCTGACCTTAGCCTAATGGAGGTGAGCTTAAAATCAGCCATGGCGAGCTTTAAAGATCTCATGATGAAATTGCCTGCCTCTTTACAACCACAAATGTTATCGTCGGTGGTGAAAGAGAAGCTCATCTCCCCAGAGAGCCTAGAAGTGGTGTCAATTGAGGCAGTAAACACACTGAAACGTCAGCTCACTTCTGTGCAGTTCGGGCATGGATTTGCGAGGATCATAAGAGACGTCAACTATCAGAAGAAAGGCTTCGATGAAGGAGTTATAGCAGGTGTTGAAAGGGGACTCCGAAGCATTGAGCTCTTATCCGTAAAAGGCCTTAAAACATCACTTTATCATAATGGCATCCTGATCCCTGAGAGTGAGAAATCAGTGATATATTTCAAAGAGAGGTTGGAGCTACCTGGCAAGGAAACGTGGAGAGTTTACATTAATGCACTTACTGGAATAGACGAAACCATTTGGACACTGGTAACGAACATAATTGTGGAAATGTACGGCGAATTCCTCGGTAAGAATTCCTATGTCATTACTGGTATGTTACGTTGTCCTCCCTCGAGCATCTGGTCTCTCTTAGACAAGATGGGTATAAGAAAAGATGACAGTTACGGCGCAGCACAAATGAAAATCTATCCAGAACCCGGAACCTATATTCCAGTTGAAGATCAGCATCTCTTGAATGACGCTTTTGAAGAATTTGAACCTGGAGAATACGTAGGTTATCAGCTGCATGACCCAAGTCTACAACAGGAGGATGGCACTGCAATCTACATCTACGCTATAGTTATTGAGGAGGTATCAAACAAAGATGCTGGGATGTTGCTGAAATTATACAAAATCGACATTGGGCATGACAAGGAGCCGGTTGTGGTCAGTGCTGCTCGCTTGCATAAATTTCACCGATTAGAAGATATATTTGACGAACAAGAAGGTTTACACAAAGATATAGACCAGGTGTGTAAAGAGATCTCTGCCACTCTCGAGCTCGCATGGGAACTACCAGAGGAGGAGAGAGATCAAATTGTCAAGCGTCTGTTTTTGCGTTGGTTTCCAAAGGAGGATGTCCGTAATTTGGAGTTGTTCGCAGCGGCTTTTCAGCACTTAAAGAGTGAGATTTCCAGACTTGGTGATTTTAACGATTCCTTGTTTGCCTCATGGGTAGCGCGTGCAAAAGAACGAAATTTGCAGCGAAAAACCTACCGAGAATGCTACCGCAAACAGTACGGTCCGTGGAAGCCTTCATCGGGCCGTAGGTCTGGGTACAGTTTTCCTCCAAGTTTCTGTCCAAGAAACTCTCAACCAGGAGAGGCCAGGCGCTGGTTCAGACAAGCCGAAGCTGACCTTGAGGCTGGATCCAGGGAATTCTCCTTCGGCAGAGATTCACATGAGTGGGTTTGCTTTAAATGCCACCAGGTATCGTATATTACCCCTGCTGTAATTGTTTAAGAAGGTTTAGAGATGCTTTAGCAGCAAACAAACGCACTAACTTGTAGAAGAATGTACGAGAAACGTCTGCACGAATTACAGCCATGTGCGGTATGAAGTATTTTCAGTTTATTCTACAACCAACAAGTGCGTTTTTTTGCCGGGAAATCACCAACAAGAAGTTCGTCTTTAACCCTCTTAACATTTAAATAGATTGCACTGCATGGCAAAGGCGACGGATTATAAATGAACAGCATGGAAAACAGCAGTAAATGTTGAAAACAATTCTTATGTCAAAATATACGTAATCGAGGCAAACTTTCAAAGGAAATTTATTACGATCATTGGTTAAGCTAAGGTTGACAAAGTTTTTTTCTTTTTTAAATCATACGTTATAGGCTAGGCCATTAGCACACTCCAATCTAATCGGCCAATAAATGAACTTCCAGAATTTTTCACAGGGGACGCAAGTTTCAATATTAAAAGTGGAAAAATCACGTGGGTGTGCAATCCCAGGGTTTTTTAACGATAAGTTCCTCCAATACTATTAGGGTGCTATTTGACGCTTTGAGCGTAGTTTTACATAATTGTCCATTGTAGCCCTAATAAAACGGATGAAAGAACCATTTACTTAAAATGGATTATGTAAAGTTTCATTTGTGGCAAAGAATCGTTCCTTCCTTGGATCATCAGGCAGCCCCAAACCAACATATTTAGTATACCCATTTATAGATCTTTTCATCTACTATCATTTAATTATGTGTGGTTGTTTATGTCTTTTCAGGCAGCGGAAAAGGCCCTTAAAGCCGTGCAATATAAAGTGGACGCAAACCAGAAGACCAATGACCACAATTTGTATCAAAATTGCTGTGATTTTGATGACCATAAATTAACCCAGTTAGCCGGTCAACTGGAAGGTCTTGNTTTTCATCTACTATCATTTAATTATGTGTGGTTGTTTATGTCTTTTCAGGCAGCGGAAAAGGCCCTTAAAGCCGTGCAATATAAAGTGGACGCAAACCAGAAGACCAATGACCACAATTTGTATCAAAATTGCTGTGATTTTGATGACCATAAATTAACCCAGTTAGCCGGTCAACTGGAAGGTCTTGTAGTTAATTCAGCGCACATGCGATATCCTGACACCATGTCCTACCCCAAGATACCAAATGACGTGTATACAGCACAAAAGGCAGAGAAGGCCCTGGATTTAGCAAGAGACATTCTAGAGAGAGTGAGAAGCAAATTGTCTTAGCGAAGGTATGTGTAATATTACTTCAATTTATTAAAATTTATTTGTAGTCGAGGAATAGGACAATATGGATTCAAGTATGTAGTTATCGGCGCGAATGGGAAAGTTGATGAAATCAAACTACACCAGCTGATTTCAAGATTCGCTATGAACCCAGACTCAAAAGTCTCATGACAGCCTATGAACTACGCCACAGAACATCTTCTGCTTAATTACAGCAGTGCTCCACCTGTTCCAGACAATGCGCTTCTAGACTGGCTTTGCAGAGCCACCAGAAAATCCAAAGATGATCACACAATACGCACTCTTCTTCGGACACAAATTAAAAGACAACCACCATGCCATGTATGAACACACTTAAGGTGACTCGATAGGGTTTTTCAGGGTCAATACCTCCAAGTTGGAACTTTTTCCTTCAATAGCCGCCTCGATTGTTTGTGAATTTTTAGCGAAATCGTTAGAGCGTGAATGAGATATTTTGGGATGAAGTTTTCTATGGTTAAAATACCGTAAAAACTGGACAATCTTGATGTTTGGCCGTTATCTGTAATAAAGAAAGCGCTTTTGAGATGCAATTTCACCTCATAATAGTTTCAATCTTTTTAAAACGATGTGTGAAATATCATGGTGAGGGGAAGAAGCCGATTGCTATAAAGAAGGATTTGATTAGTATGTATCGAGGTGCTCTTGTTAGCGGTTTTGTAAAAAATTTGGTCCACTTAAACGAATGAGCGAATGTTTTTTTAACCACTCGATACATTGAGATTCTTGAGATTAACCGTCTTTTTGTATGACCTTTTAGTTTCAAGGCTATTGATTTATTGTAAGGCAGTAAATTGAGGGCTACAATTTGGTCAATAGACCCTTTTACAGTTGTGAGCTTAGTATCCTAGCCTTTTAATGGACGTGAGGCTGAGGGTGACCTTGTAGCCTGCGAACAAGCTCTCCGAGGCGCTCTGGCGGCAGGACGGGAAAGGGAAGGAGAGCTTGCAATTACGTCTCTGGAATTTGAATTCCGCCTGCAATTCCCCTGTGGCTCCCCGTCGACTGAGCTGTGAGATTTGCGCAGATCAACGCGAAGCGGAAACGAGCGCGAATGTAAACAAACATTGAAAAACACGTGCAAGCACGCGCCAAGGGTAATAACGTCATTACTAATGTCATCTCCACCAATCAGCATTTCGCATCGACTTTTTCGATGCAGATATTCAAATTCTAGAGACGTAGTTGCAAGCTTTCCTTCCTTTTCCCGCCCCGCGGAGAGCATGCTCGCAGGCTAGTGACCTTGTTTTGATACAAACCTCTTTCCTTTTCTTATAGAAATTATGCTGAAAAGTTTCTAGTTAGCATAAGAGAAACGTAATGTACATAATAAAGAAGGAAGAGTTTATATCAAAGCAAAGTCAACTCTAGCTTCGTTTGCACCTGTAACTATAAAGTGGGGTATTGGCTAATTTTTTGTGAAAAAAATAATCCCTGTTTATAAGTGAGATTCTCTCTTTATGCAGGGGTGTTGTCTCCGTTTAATAATCTCGTGGGCAGTGAATAGCTAACATTTCTGCATATTTCCAATGCATTGTTAGTTACTCTTGTTCACGTGAAAAGGAAACTTGGAAACAATACCGAAGCGGTTCGTTTTCTCGAGATAACGTCCGAGCATGGCATCCGATTGGAATTAAAAAAACTAATAACTTTGATTTTAGCTTTTCATTTATCTTCGCATTTTGTGAACCAGGGTGACTTCTCTATTTCACGCTGAAAGAAAGTCGGAGGGCGTCTTATCATGGGAATTTCTTGCTCTAACTGGAGTGGACCTGTGAAAGGCGGTAAATTGATGGGCTACACTGCTAAATTTTAAGAGTTCATGCCATTACATTGTAATTCGTGTCGTTCTGCCTCCTAAAGAAATATCTAGTTTCTTCAAACATTTGGCAAAATATTCATTTCAGAAATATTGATATGAAGTACCGTAAAATTCCGAAAATAAGCGCCGGGGCTTATATTTTTCAAAGGCCCTTTTTGAGGGGCTTATTTTTGGAGGGGCTTATCTATGGAAGGAAATTTGCGTTTCAAAATCGATGGGCTAGCCTTATAGTTGGAAGGAAATTTTCCTTTTTTGCTTTGTCTTACTTTGTATTTGAGGGCAATTTTCAAGTACAAGTCCCTGGGGGATTATATTTGGAGGGGCGATTAAACGGAGGGTTTTTTGGGTTACGAATTTGGAGGGGCTTATACATGGAGGGGCTTATTTTCGGAATTTTACGGTATCTTTTTTCTTTTACAGTATTCCTTCTATCCTTGAAAGATGAGTTGCGAATCAGACCACATTGAAAGTAGAGTACATCTGCAGTTCCATTCGACGTGTATCTCAGAAGAAGTTAGACTAATTTAAGCCAGTAGGGAAATTTATGCTCGAGTTTAGTAGTCTCATTGCAATGCCAACTTAAGGCCCGTCCACATTATTTCCAAATCATTTTTAAAACACGTCTGTTTTTTTTTTTTT